AATACTGTATTTATTATTAAATTTTACATTAAATTACCTTCAATTTGATATATAAACGTTTGTATTTAAGTGAAAATTAATATATTCTACAAGCACTCAAAGTTGAAAAACATGAAACTTTCAAAAAATGTCCACACTTTTGACTACCACTGTATATAAATGTACTAAGAGAGAAAGAGAGAGAATCTATTTAAAAAGAAAATATTTACTCTTTTCAGAGTTTGATGAATTATGAGAAGTTAAAATGAAGCATAAACGTGCCTTTTTCACAGTGTAGGCACTTTTTAACTTTAGGTCACTATTTCATGCACTAATTTCATATTTTTTATTTTTAGCGGAGAAAAGGGAGAATTGAATACTGAAGTAGAACCAATGGAATCAAACATGATTCTTGATAAAGAAGAGGTTCTCATGAAGGGGTAATTTAAATCATATTTTAAACTAACCTAAAATAAGAATTCAATTAATAAGGACGACAGAGTCAACTTTGGATGAATCAATATCGTAACTTTTCTTTGGCAAGCAGATAACCTACATTCTACTCTATTCTATTCATCTTCAAATTAAATGTAGATTTGTTGCAACAATTTTTATGGGATTTCTGTTAAATGGTGGCAGTATTTTAATCAAAATCACTGAAACCCAATTTTATGCCCTTACAGCGCATTCTTATGTACCTCCTTACTATCGATAAACGTTGATAACTAACTGAAATTTGTGATAGGTTTTCTTTGTGGAAAGAAATTCTGTTTAAGGAATATATACTATTTAGACAAAAATTTAATATTAATGAATAAAATATTATTAAGAAAAAAGGGGGTTTGATCCAAAAGTTGGAACATATTAAATTTATGTCGGTGAAATAAGCGGCGAAAGTTCGGCCACCTGAAAGTTAATTTTACTATCTTGAAGAGTCCATATTTTTACATTTTTATTTCTCAAGAACTATTCTATAAAGTTCTTTCAATGTTTGCGTTTTTCTTTTTAAAATTTTATGGATTAAAATTGTGCAAAGAAAATCAAAACATTAAATCAAAAGTTAATAAGGTGTTCCGTTTTTTTCGATTCTTACTTTTTTTTCTTGTTCAGCTAACTGTTCATCATTTCTAATAATTAACTTTCAAAACAATAATCTAGAGTCATCATCTATACTGTCATGATCTACTTATTTAGTGAATTTTCTCTTTAATTTTAGTAGTGGTGGAAGTGACCATTGGTACTTCGAGATAGATTTGAGAGAAAAGAAACTTCTGGCCAAATCCAACAAAATAAAGGAGTCATTGAACATTGTTGTTGGATTACAGAGGTATATATTAATTGCTATCGATCTTATTTAAATTAATTAATTTATTTTGGTGTTAATTTAAATCACAGATATGCTTTTCTATGCGCTTACATATGTGTAACATATCATATATAACATATTTATTTTATTCTGCATCTTCTCCTTAAATTAAAAAATAATAGCTAGTAATTAAATACGCTTTGAAGTACTATAAACTCGCATTGGGAGCAAACCTTTAGAGAGAAATAGAATTTTTATTAACTTTTTTAACTCTATATATTTAAGTAATAAAAATACACTTTTTTATTGATTGTATTTTATGTATTGACAAACTAAGAAAGATATAATTCTAAAACTTCTCTTGTTTTGATTTTATAAAGTAATTTTGGTCATTTTATTTTGTTTTGTAAGGCTGATCGAAACATAGACAGACGATTTGTTATTTAGCATGAAATTGAGTCATTATACGTTTAATATTTATGTATTCGTATCGATGAATGTATAATAATTATAATAATTTAATATTAAGTATTCATATTTATATATTCCTGTCGATAATGTATATATTCATTCCTATAAAAAATTAGATTTGTGAGGGAACGCAGAAAAAAAGACCAATTTGCTAATTTGTTGGAAATAAAAACTAATTTATAGCAATTTATCTTCTCCTTATAAAACTCCATAAGTTAATTTGCCAAACAGTGCATATTGAGCTGCTAAATTGTGTATATAATGAAAATACTAATTTATATCCTGATTAAGTTGGTAACTTTGCTTTTCATGGACAATCGAACATAATATATTCATTCAGTAAACATAGGCAGCAAACTAAGTATTTTTTAAAAAATTTAATTCAAATAGCTCTTAAAGAGGCAACCATAAAACAAATTTTTTTATGGTTTCTAGTATACCTAAGGAAATTCTCCATACGATATTTTGCCTGAATACTAATGTAATGAATTTAAAACAACTTTTGAATAAATACTTTTATAAGCAAGCTTTTAACCTTCAAAAAATCTAAACACATATTCTGTTACATAATATTGCACAAAATGGTCATGGGACATCTGAAAAGGATTTAATGAACATATATCTAAAGAATTTCATGATTTAAAGAACTTTTATTTTAAGGAGGGAAAAAACCTATTTAACGAATGGTGAATTCCAAGTTGCAGAATTTGTTCAATCAGAAAAAAAATTCTCTTAAAAATTCAATTTCCTTAAGAGCAAAGCAATTTTTTTTACACATTCTGATGTTTTTTAGAAACTTCAAAAAGACACAGAAAAATCAAATATGTTTTTCATTTATTAAAATCTGGCAAATTTTCCAGTTAGCAATACAAAATATTTTATTGCAATTTCCACTAGTGTATTTAATTCAACTGAACTTAAAATAATTTGCCATCAAGATAGAAAAAAAATCTTTTTAAGATCAAATATGGTTTTCATCTATCAATATCTGGCAAATTTTCCAGTTAGCAATGCAACTTATTTCAATGCAATTTCCACTAGTGTATTTAAATCAACTGAACTTAAAATAATTTGCTATCAAGATAGAAAAAAAATATCTTTTTTAAAAAATACTTTGCATAAATTGTAAATGTGTAACAATTATTTAATCCAATCAATACCTTCGAGGAAAACTTTAATTGAATTATATATATATATATAAAGTGTAAGATATTTTAATGATATACAGATAAGAAGATAAGATAAGATAAGCATTCTAAAAAATAATATTATTCGCATTTTTTATGTAAGTAATAAATCAGTGAAATTTGTTATAATAAGAAACGATGCAATGTTTTTCTACATATTCCTCTCCAAGTATAATAGCTTCCGCAATTATAAAGAAAAATTCTCTTTTAAAACAAATTTTTATTACAAGTCTGTTCTTTGCATGATCAATAAATAATAATTAATTATATAATTTAAGCCTCATATAATTTAAGTACATAAATAACTTTCAATCAGTAGATTATTTAACAATAAATGGTGTAATTATTGCAGATGCGGAGATGTTTCTCGTTTGACGAAAAATCTGGAGGAAAAATTGGCTCAAAACCCAGATTTTGCCGAGAAAAGAGAAATGGCCAGAAAGAAAGAGAAGAAAGGTTTCCGCTACATTCTGAGACGCCTATTTTCTGGGTGTTTCACACGGAAATAAACTGCGTGAACCCAAAATTAAACATACCACGATTTAAGACGATATATCCCGACTGTGACATCTCCCGACTCTGTGACTCTAAACTTCGATATTACCCAAATAAAGACTTACCTAAACTAGACAAAAGTTTCCGAATATGTGACTATGAGAGTATGAAGCAGCGACTGTAAAAGTACTGAATGTAGACTCCGTTGCTCAAATGTGATATTCTTAAAATGGACTATATTGCCCAATTGTGTGACTTTTAAAATAGACTATGCACAATTGTGTGATTTTTAAATGGACAATGCATAATTGGGTGATTTTTTAAGAACACATTTTCTGATTTTGTGACTTTTTCTGACTGTGACATTTCCCGAATTAGACGACACGTCCTGAAAGTGAATGGAATAAGTAACTTTTCAAAGTTGCCATTTTCTGACTCTATGATTTCTAAATTAGGGAGTACAAAACTGTATGACTCCTAAAATACCAACTATATGACTACCGAATTGCACCACCTTTGATTGCGAATTGTTCCTTTATTTATTAAAACTGAATGTATGCCTGTAAAATTAACGTAAAGTACAATAAATGGAACATGTTTTAAGTCTTGTTATTTTTGCATTACTCTTAATATTAAGAATTATTGAAATTAATTTTTATTAAAAATGTATGTTAATACTCTGTGACTTTGTGACGAGGGAAGTTCTTTCTATCGACAAACTATACGCTTTTTTCACAAATACACACGTATGAAATTTTATAAACAAACTTTTATGAATAGAAGCAGAGAACTTTTAAATATTAACTTTGACTTGGGATTTCTGAAGTAGTCATGAACACAACTCAGTAGTATTATAAAGAGTCGCTATGGTTCAATATTTAAGGCACTAGTTTGTCATTGCGAAGAGCTTCAGTTCGATCTCTAGTTGCGGCCGACGATAAGCTTAGCTTAGTGTATCATAAGAGTTTGTCAGTTCATCTCCAAAATTAGTTACCCAAATCAAACTTTTGATTACTCACCATTGGAACACTTTTACTTAATGGAAATTTAATCAAAAAATAACTTCTACTAATTTTATAAAAAAAAATATATTTTCAGCATTTAATTTAAGACTTCCATAAAAGAAAAGTTTGAACTATAAAGATATTTATATATATAGTCAAAGTCAGATATATATAGTCAAAAAAATGCATAATTAATTAAAAATTCAGAATTTAAAAATTTTTTGAATAATTCAGAAAAAATACTATAAATGAAAAATGATTTATCTATATTTTCATTTCAAGTCATTTAAGTTGAAAAAAATCGTTATCTAGACCTTTTGATACTAATCTTAACTACATTTTTTGTTTACTGCAAAAGTTGAATGGCATTCTAAAGAAAGATACACTGTAAAAAATCCGAATCGAATTATTGTGAGAATTACCAATACGCAGAGTGCTGGTACAGTCTTCAAATAAAAAAAGATATCACCCTAAATAACTTTCGTTCGAATGGACGTATTTTCACGAACTGTGTGTCAATCTTAATGGTTCCTGGAGGTGACCGCAAATATGCTAATTAATTAGTGCCAACTATTAATTAAGTTGTGAAATCAGACACAAAAAAGAACTTTCTCTGAATAAACATACATTTTTTTAACATATTTAGACTCTTAACCTTCAAAATATAGGGGGTAGCCGCAATCTTTTTTTCCAATGCCCATCTGTGTTAACATCCGTCAATTCAGACATTTACAGGGCGAATTTGTTGGTTTCTCTTTCATATTAGGTGGGCCTACGTCGCTCCCGCAGTGAAGACAGATAGCACAGAGAAGGAAAGAAC